CATATTCAACTTCCTTCCTTTTCTGGTTGATCACCCATATTCTATTTTTGGAAGTCTACTATGATTTAGCATAACTCCAGAATTCAATGAACTTGGACATCCCTTCATGTCATAATGGTTGAACAATTCTTGGAATGTCCTTTAAATATAGGAGAACTTATAGCACCACATTCCCTTATTATTCTATTACTCAGTCAACTCTTTCCATGATTTTAGGGGTTACCATGTAGCATTTGTATGATGCTTGGATTTGAATTATTTTGATACTATGTGGCAATGTTTAAACAAAACCCTAATAACAATATTTGCCGAGAGTATTTCCTTGATCTTCAAGGATTTTATAGGATGTATGGCAAGTTCTGTGGAACTCGCCATACGTCATTCTTTGATTGGTCTTCACAATATTATCCCTTTTAATCCTTTTCCATGCGACGATTATTGAGTAGTTCCACGTGTTATGTCTTAAAAGCCTAAATGGAATTGCACGTATAATAATATCTCCATGCAATCTTTCTAAACCCTTAGAAGATTTTGGAGTAATTGATATAGTGCGGCAAGTTCTATTGAAACTCGCTACATGCTTCCTTCCCATTGGTACACTATCCTTCTCTTAAATATTATCACATAAGTATATCTATATGGCAACATAGTGTAAACTCAATTTCAATGTCTCATGTTACCATATAATAACTTCCTTTTCAACTAATTCAGCAATAATCCAGTGTGGCAAGTCCGCTAGAACTCGCCACATGCCGTCTTTTCATTAGTCTAAAAATAATGGGATAAATACTATCTATAAATACTCTATTATATATTCTTGCTCCACACTGATATTAAAGTAATTGGGCTCTCTCTCTCTCTAAAAGCATTTGCACCAGCATCTCCGGATTTTAGCTTTCCAAAAATGCCACGTTAGCAATTCCAAGAGCCACATAACCGACTTTCGCTCTCCAGAAACATGCACTCCAACATGCTCTCCGAAAAAAAAGATTAAAATTAAAAATAATGAATTGGAATAAGAAAATAAGGATTACAAAATCCTATTGGAATAAGAAAATGAATTTGTTAAACTTTTTTTATAAAAAAATATAACCGTTAAGGCACTATTTGTGTCAGCCAAACAGTGTCTGACGGCCAAATGCATTGTTTGTGGTAGAAATTTAAAATTTAAAGCAAAAAAAGTTTTAAAAAAATGAAGTTTTAAGGGAAAAAAAAGGTTTTTTAATTTTTTTTGGCCAAAATCAAATTTTTTTTTTTGACAAACAGTGCCTAAATAATATATTTTTTATTTAATGAATTTTGTTTTATTTTTTTAAAAATAATTGATCTCAAAATAACCTATTTTTGGATTTTTTTGGAAAAGACTCATGCTGCACTGTTCCAGAGTTCTGAACACTAAAGCCCCAAACCACGGCGTTTTGGCAAAGGAAAAAAACCAAAAAAAAAAAAAAAATCCCAATCGGGCTTGGGCTTGCAGTATTCCGCGAGCCAAATTGCAAGCCCATGTGGGCCCGCCTAATTACCCCTAACCCGCTGCGGGCTCATTTGGGCTGATCTTCGCGGACCATTTGGCCTGGCCGCTGCAGATGGGCTAAGTAATTAGGTTGTTAGAATTATTATTTTATTTTATTTTTTAAATTATCTTTAAATTCAAATTTTTCAATGACTGCCCCTCTCAACAAAATTCTGGATCCGTCACTGACTCGAGGACCATCGGCTACTTAGGCCTCATATTGACTGTAGCAAAACTCCACCAATCGTTGTCTCTGATATGGTAAGCAGGAATTAATTCATTTTTTTTTCTTTCGATGTCATTTTTTTTTTTTTTTGTATTAAGAGCTAGGGCTAATCAATTGTTGCGATTAAATCACATTCTCTGTGTTTGTTTAAGTTTTAAAGCAATTTACGTTTGATTCAGTGATCAATTGAGATGATCTGAGTTCTGGATTATGTAATAAATTAAGAAGCTATGGATAGAGTACTAGATTAGGTGATCATTCTCTCTCCTAAATGAACTTTTCTATCGGAAACACATGTTGAGTGATAAGGAGCTACGTTTGATACGCTGGAATAGAATGAAGTGGAGTGCAGGTGGGAATGAAATGAGAATTGAAAAGAATGGTCATTCTCATTCTGTGTTTGGTTGCAAATATGAAATAATATAGTAATAGAATGATTTTCCTACTTGGTTCTTTTAATTTAAAACCTAGAATGGAATGAATTTTAAATCGAATTCTCCAAAAATAAGAAAAATATACTAAAAAAAACACTTTTTTTACAATTTATTATTATTATTTTTTTAAAAATGACAGTAGTGGTTGAAGGTGTGAGTGGTGGAGGTGGTGGTGGTTTTTGAAGTGGTGCTGGTGGTGGAGGTGGTGATGATTGTGGTGGGGGGTGACAGCGGTGGCGGTGGCGGCAAAAGTTTTTCAACTTGATTTTTTTGGGAACGTGATTTTTTATTTTATTTTTATCTGGAAATGTAATGGTCGTTTCATAGTTTAAGTGGCAGAATGACTTAGAATGGTTTTTGTGGGAACCAGCATTCCACCTGGAATGAGGTGGAATGGTCATTTTGTGACAAACTTAATTTTATGTTGACAAATTTCTTTGTCACAACGTGTTGGTTGAGTTGTAACTTTGGTTTCAATATTTGGATTTTGCACTTGTCCGTCGATTCGTGTAAAACATTACTTAGAGTATGGATAACATTACTTAAAATTCAATGACAGTATTAAAATTCAACAAAGTCCCCCCTGTCACACTTTTGGCGACAAATCCATTTAGTCCCGGTTAAGAAGTCCTAGCCGTCCGGTTAAGAAGTCCCAGCCGTCGCTCTTTTGCGACTGGTTGGACTTACCCAAATTTGAATAGGATTCTGTTTTTAAAGCCATTTTTGAACTCCTTTTCAAACCAAATTTTGAGAGACATCCTATAAATGTTTTAAAAATTCTTTTAAAACTAAATTAAGGACTCTCATTTAAATAAATACTCTCCTAATAGAAGATCTTCTTGCATTGAGATTAGTTATTAATAGACTTTTTAGTGTGCTTTTCTTTTATTTGAGAGCCACACAAATTACACCGAGTGATTTTATGGTATTCTTCTCAAGACTGATTGACTAGTAAGTTCATCGAAGATCATATCAATTTCAGTCAAGAAGCATGATTTATTTTTCTCCTTTTATCTTCATGAATATAAAGAAGGAGGTTTCAATTGCACTTTGAAGGGGACAAAATGTTCGCGGAGCAGTCGCGTTCTTTCTACAACCCTTCTACAAAGATTGAGGAGCAGGTCTGAAGTGTGCAACAATTGGACGGGGAGTTTGTAGAGTAAGCCTGAGGTGTTCATCCACTAGTTTTTGGCTGAGTGTGAGCTTGAGACAGAATTTACAAACTTTGCTTCGAGATAGTGAATTTTTTTCGCTCGAGAAACCAAGTCTTCATGATTTTTTCTTTCGGATTTCCACGATTGTTTTAATTGGGATGAAAATCAAAATAATTTGAAAATCGAATAAAGAAGTAAGTTAAACCTATTCACTCCCCTCTAAGTTTTGTGTTTTTTTATTTTTTAGATTAACCTGGGGTGTTCGGGATGTCACGAATCCTTAAGGCTCTCAACAACCTGATTAATCCCCAGGACCCGGAAGGGCGCCTCCCTACCTGAGCGGGATAAGTCACTGTAAGTAGCGGAGGCTAATCACAAAGAACACCCAACGGGATTTGAACCCCGACCTTGTATTTGCTAAACTCCAAAGTCCAGCGAGTAAATCGCTGGGCCATATTCGAAGTGGATCTAAGTTTTGTGTTTTATTTAAGCTTTCACAACCTTTTTCGTATCGCACAAATCACACATTCCACCTTTTATTTTTATTCTTATTACCAATCAAAATAAACGCTTCAAAATGTTGGATTAATGGGTATTCCATTCAATTCTCGGATTTTTTTTTATTTTTTTTATTTTTTTTTGGGGTTGTGTTTATTTATTTTTGTGCATGTTGCTCGAATCATCTTATAGTTGTTGGCTGAACTTGGGAGTTCGAGTTTAAGCCTTTTCCAATCTCTCGTCATTTATAACATTTTTAGCTGATTCACACATTTGTGTTTTAGATTGAGATCAAGCAGATGGCCTTTTCTACGGTTTTGGAGTCCTACTTTAGCAACATGTTGAGTGAATACAAGGTAATCGGTGAACTTAGCTTTTTGCCAGTTCTGTTTAGCTCTTCATTCTTTTTTCCCAGTATATAATATTGTTTTTAAAGCTTCACAGTTTTTTTGTGACATGTTTCTGATCTCATCTCCAATAAACAGTTCACTCCCTCAAGTACCATTTTTAAATATCAGCTGGGTTTATGATTTTCAACCCTCCTCCCCAATCCCTCTCCCTATTCTGGCCCTTTAAACTTTGATAGGGCCACAGCATTTTTTAATGCAATATAAAAGATTGATTGTAATTTTATATCAAATTAGGAGTACTCAAGGTGCAATTCTATTCTGAAATAGAAATTGCTGCTGAGGAGAGTGATATTTTCCAAAATTTGGAGAAAAGAAAAAAAGAAAAAAGGAAAAAGAAAAAGCTATTACTTGGAAGTGCCTATGACCTTATGTTTCATTTTCAAAGTAGTAACGCCGTGGAAAGAAATGATTCCATATTGTGCTAATTTATATGGAATTTGAAACATTCCCTTCATAAATATTGTTTAATTATCTTTCTAATATTTGGACTGATACTTTTATTAGCTAATATGATTGATCATCTTGCAGCCAAACAGAGGATTGGATGTTTGCTAATAATTCAATTTTAGTGTGGACATTTTAATTGATTTTCTGAAGTAAACTAGTTCTCATCAATTCATGCTTAACTTTTGCTAATCTATATATGCTTTTTAAGCTTGGTTTAAATCTTTAGAGATCTTGACGTTCACAATTGATTATTCCAATTCTCATGAATATTAATATGTTATTTATATACATATTAATATGTTTTTGTGAGTTAAAGTCCTCAAGTGGACATTTAATATGGGACGGAGGTAATATATAAGTATATAAAAGAAATATGACTAAAAATGATCTCAAAGATAAAAAAAAAGTTATAGCGAGTTAAAATTTTTGAAATTAACAACTAAAATGGGACAGAGATAGGGAGTACAAAAGGACTAATATTCCCCAAATATTTACCGGAACATATAATATGAGCATCTTTAGCGATTGGAAATGAAGCTCATTTTTTTTTTTTTTTTTGAGTTCATCATTACCAGTGTATAGATATATTTGCACAGTTGGAATTCTGATTTTTGGAAGCATCTATTGATTACGAGATGAACTATTGCTCGTTTTAGCAAAGCATTCATTACATATCACCATTCTTTTATTCCCAATATACTTTCAATTTATCTTTGTTCAATTCATGTAACACGTCTTGACAATTATTCAATACTTTTCTTACAGAACATCTTCAGTCACTATATATATATATATATGATGTATCATCTATTTTACTCATCTCTTCAGACAAAACCGGCGAATTAGAAGAAGACAACCGATTGGATAGATCAAAGAGCCGGAATTTTTTTATTCTGGAGACGAGTCGATTTGGTGACGAGGAGAATGTGAACCTTCTGAACCACTTCATCCTATAGTAGACAAAGGAGAAGGCGAACCTTCTGAACCACTTCATCCAATAGTTTATAAGAATCGTTTGAACCATTTCGGTGGAAATAGCAAGGTCCATAGTATATATTATATATTCATGTGTTTGGAAATAACAAGGACGATAGTGTATTTTATATATATTGATAGTGCTGAAAAGTCGTTTCCTTAACCAGGTAGGTAGCTCATCGACAATGGTGGAGATGCCAGACCCTTCCATCAATTTTAATGTAGATTTGCGGAGTGCAGTAACTTTCCGGCGCCCAGCATCGGAAAATCACCTATGGGCATTTTGGAGTGAGCCGACTCTCTGTCCTTGCAGTAAGCTCGCGGCTTCTCTCTCTTTGTCTCATATCTCTCTTAATTTCTCACTTCATTTCTTGTTAAATTTTTTTATTAATAGAGAAATAAGTTCTTCCATTAATTTGCTAGTATTTATGAATGAAAAATGACTCAGAAAATAAAAAAAATAAAAAAATAAATTCTGTTAATCCGATTTTTCAAACTGACGTCCATAGCCTAATGGGTTTTTATTCATTTGATACAGTGAATGAGTCCCACACTACCCACTGCACCGAAGGGGATAAATCCCTTCCGCTTTGCACATTTTTTGAGTTAAAGAAATAAGTTCAAATGACATATTCTTTATTTGACATGGAAAATTTTAATGTAGGTGGTAGTATTACCGATTCAGTAACTAGCACTCCCACCACCAATCAAAGGATTACAGAGAAGACCAAAAATGCGCTTCTACACTTCCACAATAATTGCAATCTGAATCAAATTCTAATTCAGTTTTGGGCACCCATCACAACAGAAACAGGGTGTGTCCAGCTTGAAATTTCAGACCAACCTTTTGTTCTAACTGAAGATCCCGATGAACGACTTCTCAAGTATAGGAAGCATTGCTTGGACTAAAAATTTAATGTGGATGGAGCAGAAGAACACCTTGGAATTCGTGGCCGTGTGTTCCGCCAAAAAGTGCAAGAGTGTACTACAGATGTGCAATATTACTCTAGCAAAGAGTACCCACAGGGCAACTTTGCTCTAACTTGCAATATTTCTGCTTCTTTTGCTTTCCCCATGTTTCACACATCTTTTCACGACTACGTTGGAGTACTTGAGTTCATAACTACACGTTTCGTAGATTTATGCGGTATCTGTGCTTTGATTTTAAAGCATACGCACCTGGTTCGTTGAAAATTTCTTCTAATTAATTTGCTGAGAAGCTGAGATATGAATGCAAGATATTTGGGGATGATTTGATTTTCCATTTCCATCAATTCAAATCTTACAAAATTATTCATTTCTCTTCTCTTGCAGAATGCAGAAATGAAAAGTTCTTTATGTCGTCATTTAATTTTTAGGGTAAGTTACAGCTGTAATATGCAAATAAATATGAGATATGGAGCTTTTTCTTCCTTATTTATATGTTTTCAGTGTTATAGTGTTCTCTGCTCTCCTTAACAAATGTCTATACCACACAACACTTGCAATCTAGCCTTCAGGTACGCGGTATGAAATCGGCAAAGGGTTGGAAGTGGTGTGCAGAATTCACGAGTTACGTTAGGCTCAGACGTGGGTTTCGTGTAAGCATTTTAATGGCATGGGCTTTGATGGCACTACAGATAATGGGCCTATAAATTTTTTTTTTTGGTGGCCCAACATTCATGGGCCTATAAATTTTGATTTGCAGCATTTGGTTATACATTTTTTTTTTTTTTTGGCCCATCATACATGGGCCTATAAATTTGGAGGCCCCTTATATTCTGAGGCCCTAGGCGACCGCCTTGGTAGCCTTAGGCCAGGGCCGGCCCTGCATCAATATAACGGTATAAACCAAGAGGTGTGGTATTTTACTAGTTTTAGACTAAACAAAACTCTTGTATAACCAGAGGTCATGTTTTAGACTAATACTAGAAAGGTATTATAAATGAAACAGTGTTTGTAGGTCAAAAGGGGTACAAATGAACCAAGAGGCACCAATTTTTTCTATAAATACCCCCACTTGGCTGCATAATTCGCTCAATTCATTTTTCTTTCTTCTCTTCCTCTATCAACAAGAACCAACCCAACTAGGTGTAGGTTCAAGCCATAGGTCCAAGCCACTTAGATCCAAGAACAATAAAGATGAGCCACATTAAAATTGGTTCGAGCCATTTGGTTCGGATTGCATCCAATTCATTATTTATATAGTATAGATGCATCTTTGAGTATTACATAGAGGAAGTTCGCCGTATCCATAAGTTTGAAGTGCTGCTACTTGCGGATATAAACCATTGTATCATAGGAGATAAGCATCATAGAGTCGGTTAGCACCATGAAGAGAGTAACGTGGATCTGGTAGCCTTAGAGTCGGATTTTAGAGAATGAATATGGTAGCTATACTGTGGTTGTAGTGGTGAAGATGGTGGCTGAGATGGTGTGGATACGACAGTAGTTGTTGAGATTGTAAGGAAGATAGAAGACATTAAAGAGGAGAGAGATTGAATAAAAGTATTGGCTAACTATGGTAAATTTAAAGTTAACATTATTAACTATGATTAAGTCTAATAAAGTAATAAAATGTAATTGACTAATTGAGTTTTGATCCGTTAAAAAGTTCGTTGTTTTGGACCGCATGAGAGTCTTTCTATATATATATATATATATACACACACACACACGTATACATATTCAACTTCAACTTCCTTCCTTTTCTGGTTGATCACCCATATTCTATTTTAGGAAGTCTGCTATGATTTAGCATAACTCCAGAATTCAATGAACTTGGACATCCCTTCTTGTCATAATGGTTGAACAATTCTTGGAATGTCCCTTAAATATAGGAGAACTTATAGCACCACATTCCCTTATTATTCTATTACTCAGTCAACTCTTTCCATGATTTTAGGGGTTACCATGTAGTATTTGTATGATGCTTGGATTTGAATTATTTTGATACTGTGGCAATGTTTAAACAAAACCCTAATAACAATATTTGCCGAGAGTATTTCCTTGATCTTCAAGGATTTTATAAGATGTATGGCCAGTTCTGTGGAACTCGCCATACGTCATTCTCTGATTGGTCTTCACAATATTATCCCTTTTAATCCTTTTCCATGCGACGATTATTGAGTAGTTCCACGTGTTATGTCTTAAAAGCCTAAATGGAATTGCACGTATAATAATATCTCCATGCAATCTTTCTAAACCCTTAGAAGATTTTGGAGTAATTGATATAGTGCGGCAAGTTCTATTGAAACTCACTACATGCTTCCTTCCCATTGGTACACTATCCTTCTCTTAAATATTATCACATAAGTATATCTATATGGCAGCATAGTGAAAACTCAATTTCAATGTCTCATGTCACCATATAATAACTTCTTTTTCAACTAATTCGGCAATAATCCAGTGTGGCAAGTCTGCTAGAACTCGCCACATGCCGTCTTTTCATTAGTCTAAAAATAATGGGATAAATACTATCTATAAATACTCTATTATATATTCTTGCTCCACACTGATATTAAAGTAATTGGGCTCTCTCTCTCTCTAAAAGCATTTGCACCAGCCTCTCCGAATTTTAGCTTTCCAAAAATGCCACGTTAGCAATTCCAAGAGCCAGGTAATCGGCTTTCGCTCTCCAGAAACATGCACTTCAACATGCTCTCCAAAAAAAAAGATTAAAATTAAAAATAATGAATTGGAATAAGAAAATGAATTTGTTAAACTTTTTTTTATAAAAAAATATAACCGTTAAGGCAATATTTGTGTTAGCCAAACAGTGTCTGACGGCCAAATGCATTGTTTGTGGTAGAAATTTAAAATTTAAAGCAAAAAAAGTTTAAAAAAAATCAAGTTTTAAGGGAAAAAAAAGGTTTTTTAATTTTTTTTGGCCAAAATCAAAATTTTTTTTTGGACAAACAGGCCTAAATAATATATTTTTTATTTAATGAATTTTGTTTTATTTTTTTAAAAATAATTGATCTCAAAATAACCTATTTTTGGGTTTTTTTTGGAAAAGACTCATGCTGTTCCAGAGTTCTGAACCCTAAAGCCCAAAACGACGGCGTTTTGGCAAAGGAAAAAGACCAAAAAAAAAAAAAAAAATCCCAATCGGGCTTGGGCTTGCGGTATTCCGCGAGCCAAATTGCAAGCCCATGTGGGCCCGCCTAATTACCCCTTACCCGCTGCGGGCTCATTTGGGCTGATCTTCGCGGACCATTTGGCCTGGCCGCTGCAGATGGGCTAAGTAATTAGGTTGTTAGAATTATTATTTTATTTTATTTTTTAAATTATCTTTAAATTCAAATTTTTCAATGACTGCCCCTCTCAACAAAATTCTGGATCCGTCACTGACTCGAGGACCATCGGCTACTTAGGCCTCATATTGACTGTAGCAAAACTCCACCAATCGTTGTCTCTGATATGGTAAGCCGGAATTAATTCATTTTTTTTTCTTTCGATTTCATTTTTTTTTTTTTTTTTTTTTTTTTTTTTTTTTTTGTATTAAGAGCTAGGGCTAATCAATTTTTTCGATTAAATCACATTCTCTGTGTTTGTTTAAGTTTTAAAGCAATTTACGTTTGATTCAGTGATCAATTGAGATGATCTGAGTTCTGGATTATGTAATAAATTAAGAAGCTATGGATAGAGTACTAGATTAGGTGATCATTCTCTCTCCTAAATGAACTTTTCTATCGGAAACATATGTTGAGTGATTAGGAGCTACGTTTGATACGCTGGAATAGAATGAAGTGGAGTGCAGGTGGGAATGAAATGAGAATTGAAAAGAATGGTCATTCTCATTCTGTGTTTGGTTGCAAATATGAAATAATATAGTAATAGAATGATCTTCCTACTTGGTTCTTTTAATTTAAAATCTAGAATGGAATGAATTTTAAATCGAATTCTCCAAAAACAAGAAAAATATACTTAAAAAAAAACACTTTTTTTTTACAATTTATTATTATTATTTTTTTAAAAATGACAGTGGTGGTTGAAGGTGTGAGTGGTGGAGGCGGTGGTGGTTTTGGAAGTGGTGCTGGTGGTGGAGGTGGTGATGATTGTGGTGGGGGGTGACAGCGGTGGCAGTGGTGGTGGCGGCGGCGGCGGCAAAAGTTTTTCAACTTGATTTTTTTGGGAACGTGATTTTTTATTTTATTTTTATCTGGGAATGTAATGGTCGTTTCATAGTTTAAGTGGCAGATTGACTTAGAATGGTTTTTGTGGGAACCAGCATTCCACCTGGAATGAGGTGGAATGGTCATTTTGTGACAAACTTAATTTTATGTCGACAAATTTCTTTGTCAAAACGTGTTGGTTGAGTTGTAACTTTGGTTTCAATATTTGGATTTTGCACTTGTCCGTCGATTCGTGTAAAACATTACTTAGAGTATGTATAACATTACTTAAAATTCAATGACAGTATTAAAATTCAACAAAGTCCCACCTGTCACACTTTTGGCGACAAATCCATTTAGTCCCGGTTAAGAAGTCCTAGCCGTCCGGTTAAGAAGTCCCAGCCGTCGCTCTTTTGCGACTGGTTGGACTTACCCAAATTTGAATAGGATTCTGTTTTTAAAGCCATTTTTGAACTCCTTTTCAAACCAAATTTTGAGAGACATCCTATAAATGTTTTAAAAATTCTTTTAAAACTAAATTAAGGACTCATTTAAATAAATACTCTCCTAAGAGAAGATCTTCTTGCATTGAGATTAGTTATTAATAGACTTTTTAGTGTGCTTTTCTTTTATTTGAGAGCCGCACAAATTACACCGAGTGATTTTATGGTATTCTTCTCAAGACTGATCGACTAGTAAGTTCATCGAAGATCATATCAATTTCAGTCAAGAAGCATGATTTATTTTTCTCCTTTTATCTTCATGAATATAAAGAAGGAGGTTTCAATTGCACTTTGAAGGGGACAAAATGTTCGCGGAGCAGTCGCGTTCTTTCAACAACCCTTCTATAAAGATTGAGGAGCAAGTCTGAAGTGTGCAACAATTGGACGGGGAGTTTGTAGAGTAAGCCTGAGGTGTTCATCCACTAGTTTTTGGCTGAGTGTGAGCTTGAGACAGAATTTACAAACTTTGCTTCGAGATAGTGAATTTTTTTCGCTCGAGAAACCAAGTCTTCATGATTTTTTCTTTCGGATTTCCACGCTTGTTTTAATTGGGATGAAAATCAAAATAATTTGAAAATCGAATAAAGAAGTAAGTTAAACCTATTCACTCCCCTCTAAGTTTATTTTTGGATTAACTCGGGGTGTTCGGGATGTCACGAATCCTTAAGGCCCTCAACAACCTGATTAATCCTCAGGACCCGGAAAGGCGCTTCCCTACTTGAGTGGGTAAGTCACTGTAAGTAGCGGAGGCTAACCACAAAGAACACCCAGCGGGATTCGAACCCCGACCTTGTATTTGCTAAGCTCCAAAGTCCAGCGAGTAAATCACTGGGTCATATTCGAAGTGGATCTAAGTTTTGTGTTTTATTTAAGCTTTCACAACCTTTTTCGTATCGCGCAAATCACACATTCCACCTTTTATTTTTATTCTTATTACCAATCAAAATAAACGCTTCAAAATGTTGGATTAATGGGTATTCCATTCAATTCTCGGATTTTTCCTTTTTTTTTTTTTTTTTTTTTTTTTTTTTTGGGTGGTGTTTATTTATTTTTGTGCATGTTTGCTCGAATCATCTTATAGTTGTTGGCTGAACTTGGGAGTTCGAGTTTAAGCCTTTTCCAATCTCTCGTCATTTATAACATTTTTAGCTGATTCACACATATGTGTTTTAGATTGAGATCAAGCAGATGGCCTTTTCTACGGTTTTGGAGTCCTACTTTAGCAACATGTTGAGTGAATACAAGGTAATCGGTGAACTTAGATTTTTGCCAGTTCTGTTTAGCTCTTCATTCTTTTTTCCCAGTATATAATATTGTTTTTAAAGCTTCACAGTTTTTTTGTGACATGTTTCTGATCTCATCTCCAATAAACAGTTCACTCCCTCAAGTACCATTTTTAAATATCAGCTGGGTTTATGATTTTCAACCCTCCTCCCCGATCCCTCTCCCTATTCTGGCCCTTTAAACTTTGGTAGGGCCACAGCATTTTTTAATGCAATATCTTAAAAGATTGCTTGTAATTTTATATCAAATTAGGAGTACTCAAGGTTCAATTCATTCTGAAATAGAAATTGTTGCTGAGGATAGTGATATTTTCCAAAATTTGGAGAAAAGAAAAATTGAAAAAAGATAAAAGAAAAAAGCTATTACTTGGCAGTGCCTATGACCTTATGTTTCATTTTCAAAGTAGTAACGCCGTGGAAAGAAATGATTCCATATTGTGCTAATTTATATGGAATTTGAAACATCCCCTTTATAAATATTGTTTAATTATCTTTCTAATATTTGGACTGATACTTTTATAAGCTAATATGATTGATCATCTTGCAGCCAAACAGAGGATTGGATGTTTGCCAATAATTCAATTTTAGTGTGGACATTTTAATTGATTTTCCGAAGTAAACTAGTTCTCATCAATTCATGCTTAACTTTTGCTAATCTATATATGCTTTTTAAGCTTGGTTTAAATCTTTAGAGATCTTGACGTTCACAATTGATTATTCCAATTCTCATGAATATTAATATGTTATTTATATACATATTAAATGTCCACTTTGAGAACTTTGTTTTTGTGAGTTAAAGTCCTCAAGTGAACATTTAATATGGGACGGAGGTAATATATAAGTATATAAAAGAAATATGACTAAAAATGATCTCAAAGAAAAAAAAAAAGTTATAGCGAGTTAAAATTTTTGAAATTAACAACTAAAATGGGACAGAGCTAGGGAGTACAAAAGGACTAATATTCCCCAAATATTTACCGGAACATATAATATGAGCATCTTTAGCGATTGGAAATGAAGCTCATTTTTTTTTTTTTTGAGTTCATCATTACCAGTGTATAGATATATTTGCATAGTTGGAATTCTGATTTTTGGAAGCATCTATTGATTACGAGATGAACTATTGCTCGTTTTAGCAAAGCATTCATTACATATCACCATTCTTTTATTCCCAATATACTTTCAATATATCTTTGTTCAATTCATGTAACACGTCTTGACAATTATTCAATACTTTTCTTACAGAACATCTTCAGTCACTATATATATATATATATATATGATGTATCATCGATTTTACTCGTCTCTTCAGAAAAAACCGGCGAAGTAGAAGAAGACAACCGATTGGATAGATCATAGAGCCAGAATTTTTTTTATTTTGGAGACGAGTCGATTTGGTGACGAGGAGAATGTGAACCTTCTGAACCACTTCATCCTATAGTTGACAAAGGAGAAGGCGAACCTTCTGAACCACTTCATCCAATAGTTTATAAGAATCTTTTGAACCAATTCGGTGGAAATAGCAAGGTCCATAGTATATATTATATATTCATGTGTTTGGAAATAACAAGGACGATAGTGTATTTTATATATATTGATAGTGCTGAAAAGTCGTTTCCTTAACCAGGTAGGTAGCTCATTGACAATGGTGGAGATGCCAGACCATTCCATCAATTTTAATGTAGATTTACGGAGTGCAGTAACTTTCCGGCGCCCAGCATCGGAAAATCACCTATGGGCATTTTGGAGTGAGCCGACTCTCTGTCCTTGCAGTAAGCTCTCTCTCTGTCTCATATCTCTCTTAATTTCTCACTTCATTTCTTGTTAAAATTTTCTATTAATAGAGAAATAAGTTCTTCCATTAATTTGCTAGTATTTATGAATGAAAAATGACTCAGAAAAGAAAAAAAAAAAAAAAAAAAAACAAATTCTGTTAATCCGATTTTGCAAACTGACGTCCATAGCCTAATGGGTTTTTATTCATTTGATACAGTGAATGAGTCCCACACTACCCACTGCATCGAAGGGGATAAATCCCTTCCGCTTTGCATATTTTTTGAGTTAAAGAAATAAGTTCAAATGACATATTCTTTATTTTGACATGGAAAATTTTAATGTAGGTGGTAGTATTACCGATTCAGTAACTAGTGTTGGCTTTTGCTCTGATACCACTTTGTTGGAAATAGTGGCCTAGTTACACACACAATACTATACTATTTGGAAGAGAATAGAAATGGAGGAAAATACTTTTTATTTCACTTCAATCTATTATTTGACTAGAGTACATGAATATATAGGCCTCACATATGTATGTGTAACCATTACATTTAAATGTCCATAACTCTCCTATCTCCCACTAACATAATCTTCAATATGCATAACTCCCACTAATATAGTATTTGTTAGGCTTAACTCTCATGACTCTTTATTTTACATAACCTTAACTCCCACTAAGACAATTTACTACCCACTAACATGCTAAATTAACACATACATCATGGATACAAAAATACTTGAAAATACTAAATACTAAAATCAAGTTTATTTTCAACACCCCCCTTTAAACTTGATTTTGTAACTTGAAAAACCTTCTTATTAATCTTGGGGGCTTGATCAAAAGTTCGATAGTTGATCTTCAATTCCACCTCCTTCAATAGCTTCAATCTTCTTGGCCATTTCCATTGATGTGTAGGGCTTGTGAAACTTCTTCAAATGCTTGTTTGATATCGTCACATAATCATATATCATCCTCTTTATACAAGCACACCATCGATCTTTTTTCTTCTTAAATTTTTTATGGATCTTCAACTTCACATATACTTCTTCTTTAGAGTCAAAAAATAATTTCATATTCACCCAACCTGTATCAATTACAAAATTCTCCAAACTATTTTTTAAAAAATAATATGAGAATTTCTTATCATCCTGGGCTTCAATCTGATACTTCTTTGGAACAACTTTCTTTAAGAGAAGTTCATCATTCTCCACAAAATAAGCATTATTTGATGAATATGAAGAAATAATAATTTCATCAAATAAGTCAAATATAACTTCTTTCAAGGTGGAATTTGTAACCATACCTAAAGATGTTAATTCACCAACTTGAACTTTTGCCTCTTCTTTAGCACTTCCTTCTTCTAAATCTTCTATTTTCACTTCATCCTCCTTCACTTTTTCAATCTCTTCTTTAACACCTTTTCTTACCTCTTCCTTATTCACCATTTTAAATTCTCCTTCAACTTTTGAATCTCCAAAATCTTCAACTTCTTTTGCATGATACACCTCTTCATTCTCCACAGCTTTGTCTTCAAGACTTTCATAATCATCTTTCGTAAACTCATCATTCTCAAAGCATTGTACCCAATACTCCATGGGTAGTGATTCACCTCTATGATTGGAAACGATGGTCTCGAGCATCTTCCAAATACAACTTGGAGTTTTGGACTCTCCAAAATACTCCCAAATTTCTTGATGTATTGCCTTTTGCAACACTACCAATGCCTTATCTTTTTTCTTTTCATGAAGCTTGTTGGACATGCCATTCTTTGGCTCTTCTCCAACAACAACCCACAAATCGCATGCTTTGAGGTATGAAGTCATGATGATTCTCATTCTCTTGTAATTAGAGAACATCATCTTTTCACTAAGAAAATACATTTTCTCCCCTTCATCATCATCAAGGAGAAACATGTTTTTCTCAAATGTTGAACCTTCTAGGATCAACTTCGTCTGGCCTTCAGGATCGTCTAGGCTCTGATATGAAATCTGGCTTTGAACATGAAATCTGGCTCTGATACCACTTTGTTGGCTTTTGCTCTGATACCACTTTGTTGGAAATAGTGGCCTAGTTACACACACAACACTATACTATTTGGAAGAGAATAGAAATGGAGGAAAATACTTTTTATTTCACTTCAATCTATTATTTGACTAGAGTACATGAATATATAGGCCTCACATATGTATGTGTAACCATTACATTTAAATGTCCATAACTCTCCTATCTTCCACTAACATAATCTTCAATATGCATAACTCCCACTAACATAGTATTTGTTAGGCTTAACTCTCATGACTCTTTATTTTACATAACCTTAACTCCCACTAAGACAATTTACTACCCACTAACATGCTAAATTAACACATACATCATGGATACAAAAATACTTGAAAATACTAAATACTAAAATCAAGTTTATTTTCAACAACTAGCACTCCCACCACCAATCAAAGGATTACAGAGAAGACCAAAAATGCGCTTCTACACTTCCACAATAATTGCAATCTGAATCAAATTCTAATTTAGTTTTGGGCACCCATCACAACAGAAACAGGGTGTGTCCAGCTTGAAATTTCAGACCAACCTTTTGTTCTAACTGAAGATCCCGATGAACGACTTCTCAAGTATAGGAAGCATTGCTTGGACTATAAATTTAATGTGGATGGTGTAATACCCCGATATTTTAAAAAGGATTTATTAATTAAATTAATTTATATTATATTATTTTTATTATTTTTAAGTGATTTGTTTTATTTAATTAGGTGCTTGATAGTTGTGATTTGTTTTATTTAATTAAGTGCGTAGGTAAATTGTATTGTTTTAATTAGATTATATATTTTGTAATTTTAATTGTTAAATTTATATGGTGTTTGATTTGTGGAATGCTAGTTAGTGAAGTGTTTATTTGATTTGCGTGATTTTATGTTGGTGTAACTTTATTGTTAATTATTGGTAGCTATTAAATTTAATTTCATTATTTTAGGTATTTAAGTTATTTGGATTGGGATTAAAGGAAGTTGGATCAACGGATGTGGTATTGGGCTTGAAGGAAGCCTTGTTGGGTTAATTGGTAAAGGCCCGTGGTTGGGAGGATATTTAACAATTATCTTTGCATAATTATACCTATATAATTACATGTGTATATTAATTCATTATTAAATCATGTGTAGGGGCATATATGTCAATATAATTATATATTGATATATATAGGTATATATAATTTATTTAACTAATGGTTATATATGGAAGGTAATATATATATATATATTAAAATATATGTATGTATATATATTATTTAAAAGATAAATATTATTTATTTTATATGATAATCCTAATGGGAAAAGGATTTAGGTTTTTGGATGTGTATAAATAGACATATAAGACTTTAGGGTTAGGAGTTTTTCTACGTTAGAAAAATACGAGAATTAGAGAGAGAAGAAGAAGGGCTAACGAGGAGGAGGCCGGATCAAAGAACGTAAGAGGAGACCGGATCTGGAAAAGAAAAGGCGAGTTCTTCTCTACTTCTCCTCTTAGAACTCATAAACTTATCACCTTGATTATTGAAATAATAATTGTATTGTATTGAATTAAATTATTAATCGAATTAGATGAGCATGTTTATTTTTTTGAAATTTTTTTTATAGATTTAAACATGTGAATATATGTATGAATTGTTCAGATAGTTTAAATATTGTATGTGAGGGAAGGTTAATTAAATATTATTTCTGAAATTTTCTTATAGTTTGTTTTAACTTTTTGTAGCGTGATTAATTAAATTAAATGGACCAAAATATAATTACATATATTTAGTTATGGCCAAAATTAATAAATTAAGCTTGTGGATTTTTCCTAGAATTTTCTGGACTGATTTGATATTTTTTTAGAAAAATTCGGATATTTAGAATTATATATATAAAATTATATATGTGCAAATTAATTATATATATATATATACTGTCTATGTTTACGCACTGATGGTAGTTTAGAAAGGCGATATTCCAGTGTGGTGCGGCCTATGCTAAAAGTATGTGCATGTGAATCTGGGGCATTGAATTTTGAAATACATAATAGATTGATTTAGTGCATTAGGGTGTATAATATGTTGATGGCTACGCTGATCTAGACCGTTGGATGAGGTGGATGATGGTGGATTGATTCGCTGCAGCGCACCAGCAGGGACGCGGTACAACTAACCAATAGGAGCGCGCCGCGTCAGCAAGAGGAATAGCCAGCGTGCGTGGCAGCGCGTGGCCGCGCGTGCGCACGCGTGGCAGCGCGTGTGAGCGTGCGCTCACTCTCTAGCGCGTGTGAGGGCGCGTGTGAGCGCGTGCGTGCGTGGAAAGATGTGTGGAAGCGCGTGCAAGGTGCTTCGGAGAGTGTAGAGGCGCGTGGTAAGGTATTTGGTGTCTCAAAAAGGTCCGGTAAAGTCCGGAGAGGTTCTAGAATAAGTCTCGATGTGTTCTAGTTTTTCTAAAGGCTGTAGAGTGTTGCTAAGATATGTGGTAGCCTTTAGCGTGTGTAACAGAATAAATTAATGATTATTATAGAAGGAAATGAATATATATATATATATATATATATATATATATTTATTTATTTATTTATTTAGTTATTTATCTATAATCGTACATGAGTATATGGTTTATTTAACTTGCGATTAGGATGGAAGGAAGTAGTTATATATATATACATCTGTATATGTATATATAGTATGGAAGATATTACATACGTATATATTACATAATATATTTGTATATGGATATCATTTAAGATAATTATTATTATAAGTCTTATTTGGTGTATCTGAATATGTGGGTTATTAATTATTGACATGCTTATTATATGCATGAGATGTGTATGTGTGATTTAGCTTATTAGTTAAGTTTAAGGTTGGTACATGGTTGAATTGTAGGCATGGATGAGTTGCCAAAGGCTTAAATATATTGCCTTATTATTCGTATAGATAAAATACATACGTGGAAAGTATGGATGAATTGCTAATTAAAAGTATAAATATATATACTTGAGGAGGCATGGTTGAGTTGCCAATATATAGATAAATATATTCATAATAGCATGGTTGAATTGCTATAGCAAAATTAAATTGCTATGTATGTTAGATGATTAAATTCATCTATGTGTACGGTAGGTATGAGTTGGATTTAAGTTAGATATTCTTAAATTAGAATAATCTAGTGGTTACATATTAGTGTATTACTTGGTATATATTAATAAAATATTGTGGGTGGAGACATGAATGATTTGTGAAAGTTTAAATTTCTGAACATGTAATTTAAACAATCAAAAGTATTACTAGGTTTTGGATTTTAGTGGATTATTCATTTAAATGTAATTTATAGCTAAAATGTTAAATTACTGGTTAGGTTCGAATTAAGGTGAGTGGAGTGTATTTTATAGGAAACTTATAAATGATGGTTTTGGTTTAGGTCTGATTATTAATTAATCGTTGGTAAATGGATTTAACAATTTAATTGCACCTATTAATAGATAGGATTATTGTATTGTATAAAAGTATTTATATATATTTATAGCATGGTATATTAAAGTTTAAACTTTATCAGGGTTTGTTTTGATATAGATGATTTGTTTATTGGCTTTCAGAGGTTTGGTAGAGGGAACTTGTTCGTAGGGTTTAACCCGCGATTTATTTTTCAGGTTGTTAGAAGGTCAAGTCTCAAGGTTGAGGATCCGCAGTTGGAGGACTTATCCATTCTTTCTATTTATTTACAAGTAGGATATTATTATTGTTACAGTTGAGATTAGTATTTATTTGGTTGGAATTCTACATAGTAACTTTTGGTTAAGGGGTCCTTGAGTTACGGGATTCCCGAACTGTAACCATTTGGAAGTTATTAATGGATTTACTATTAATTAGATTTCTTCAGCGTTTTATTTTATTCTTTATTTCATTTTGTAATCTGTGCTTGTTTAAATACTTTAATTGTTTTGATATTCCCTAATTTTGTGCGCGAACTTGATCAACCCGTGTTCCGAAATTAGGGTATTACAGATGGAGCAGAAGAACACCTTGGAATTCGTGGCCGTGTGTTCCGCCAAAAAGTGCAAGAGTGTACTACAGATGTGCAATATTACTCTAGCAAAGAGTACCCACAGGGCAACTTTGCTCTAACTTGCAATATTTCTGCTTCTTTTGCTTTCCCCATGTTTCACACATCTTTCCATGACTACGTTGGAGTACTTGAGTTCATAACTACACGTTTCGTAGATTTATGCGGTATCTGTGCTTTGATTTTAAAGCATACGCACCTGGTTCGTTGAAAACTTCTTCTAATTAATTTGCTGAGGAGCTGAGATATGAATGCAAGATATTTGGGGATGATTTGATTTTCCATTTCCATCAATTCAAATCTTACAAAATTATTCATTTCTCTTCTCTTGCAGAAAGCAGAAATGAAAAGTTCTTTATGTCGTCGTTTAATTTTTAGGGTAAGTTACAGCTGTAATATGCAAATAAATATGAGATATGGAGCTTTTTCTTCCTTATTTATATGTTTTCAGTGTTACAGTGTTCTCTGCTCTCCTTAACAAATGTCTATACCACACAACACTTGCAATCTAGGCTTCAGGTTCACGGTATGAAATCGGCAAAGGGTTGGAAGTGGTGTGCAGAACTCACGAGTTACGTTTGGCTCAGACGTGGGTTTCGTATAAGCATTTTAATGGCATGGCCTTTGATGGCACTACAGATAATGGGCCTATAAATTTTTTTTTTTTGGTGGCCCAACATTCATGGGCCTATAAATTTTGATTTGTTGCATTTGGTTATACATTTTTTTTTTGGCCCATCATACATGGGCCTATAAATTTGGAGGCCTCTTATATTCTTAGGCCAGGGCCGGCCCTGCATCAATATAACGGTGTAAACCAAGAGGTGTGGTATTTTACTAGTTTTAGACTAAACAAAACTCTTGTATGACCAGAGGTTATGTTTTAGACTAATACTAGAAAGGTACTATTAATGAAACAGTGTTTGTAGGTCAAAAGAGGTACAAATGAACAAAGAGGCAGCAATTTTTTCTATAAATACCCCCACTTGGCTGCATAATTCGTTCAATTCATTTTTCTTTCTTCTCTTCCTCTATCAACAAGAACCAACCCAACTAGGTGTAGGTTCAAGCCATAGGTCCAAGCCACTTAGATCCAAGAACAATAAAGATGAGCCATATTAAAATTGGTTCGAGCCATTTGGTTCGGATTACATCCAATTCATTATTTATATAGTATAGATGCATTTTTGAGTATTACATAGAGGAAGTTCGCCGTATCCATAAGTTTGAAGTGCTGCTACTTGTGGAGACCATGAAATGTAGTACTACTTGATATGTTAAAGAGTGTTGTTATTGGAATTTTTGGCCGTATTATTGTCTAATTTTTGTTTGGATTATGGGCTTGATCTTCTATCAAGGATGAGGAATTGAAAAATGATTAGGAGAAGGTAAGAAAAGAGAGTAGATGAGAAACATAAAAAGCATTGGGAGAAGGTAAAAAAAAGATCAGCAGCTCTCAGACAACAGTTATTACAATTTGAGGGCAAAAAAGTTATTTTTATGGTAAAAGAGTTTCAACAAATGTTTTGCCAAATATAAAAAAAAGTAAATAAATAAATAAATTTGTCATTAAAAATTCTTCGGAAGTATAGTTTCCAAACACTACGCATAAGTGAAGTGGAAGATTCATTCGGCTTCTCCTTTTCTTCTAGATAGAAGCAAAAGCAAAAATTATATCAAACGAGACTATAATATCAAATACTAGCCTCAGTCTAGATTTTTATTTTATTATTATTATTTTATTACACTATTTTACATATTTAATTAAATATTGAGTTACATACTTAATTAATTATTTTAATATATTATTATGTATCTAGTAACATTTTAGTATAACATCTGTCATATCTTAAATTGTCAAACAAAGCATATACTCCGTATTTTCTAACAATTTCATATTTGCTCAATTCCTGTAATGTATGACAATTGCTCAATTTTTCTTCCGTCTCTATTGCATCTATATATTATACACCATCTCCTCGGACAAAACCACAAACTAGAAGAAGAACAACAATCTCAAACGAGTCAATTTGGTGAAAGTAGGAGCGGAGCCAGATATTTGGGCCGAGTCGATTTGGACGTGAGTGACGAAGACAAGGTGAACCTTCTGAACCATTTCCTCCTAGTTGACAAGAATGTTTTGAACCGTTTTGGAGAAAATAACAAGGTCCATAGTATATTACTCCGTATTATATATCGATATGATCGACAGTCTGGTGGAAATAGCAAGGACGATAGTAATATTATATATTGATGTGCTGAAAAAGTCCATTCCTTAACCAGTTGGGTAGCTCATCGACAATAGCGGAGATGCCAGACCCCTCCATCGATTTTAATTTTGACCATCCTCTTTCAGAAGAATACAAGCTCGATAATTTCATGAAAGAATTGCGGTGTAAACTGTATTTCCGGCGCCCGACCTCGGATTACGAACTGTGGACATTTTGTTGTGAGCCGACTCTCTCTCCTTGCGGTAAGCTCCCGGCTTCTGTCTCACGTCGTCCTTAATTTCTCATTTCATTTCATGTTAAAAGTTTCTACTAACACAAAAATAAGGTTAGTCCATTAATTTGCTAGTAGTAATTATACGGATGTTAATGAGCTGTTCAGAATGGGACACTCATGTCCCAAACCCGTAACACTAATAAAATAATTTTTCCAAATCTGCCTTGCCCCGCATTGGAGTTGGAGCTGATTCCGGACACCGGGTATATACAGTGTTTTGCTCCGTTTTTTTTTTTTAGAGAGAAAATCCGTTTTAGCTTGAACAATTTTAAGATATATATATATATATATATATATATATATATATATATATATATTGTTTAATTAGGCGAAAGATAGATAAAATACTTGGCAATCTGGGATGGAGGTCCTTTATTTGACAAGAACATTTTTCATTGAACGTGTAGGTGGTAATATTACGGATTTGGTACCTAACACCCCCACCTCCAATCAAGCGATTACAGAGAAGATCAAATATGCACTTCTACACTGCCGTAGTAATTGCCATTTTGGTAAAATTCTAATTCAGTTTTGGGCAACCATCAGAACCAAAATAGGGTGTTTCTTTGTAACTTCAGACCAACCGTTTGCTCTTACTCAACTTGATGAACAACTTCTCGAGTATAGGAAGCACTGTTTGGAATGTAAAATTAATGTGAATGAGGATGAAGAAGTAGAACACCTTGGAATCCCTGGCCGTGTGTTCCGCCAAATATCTCAAGAGGGCATTAAAGAAGTGCGATATTACACTAGGAAAGAGTGCCCACCACGTAATTTTGCTGTAACTAGCGGTATTGAGGCTTCTCTTGCTTTCCCGGTGTTTCAACCCTTATCCGAGGACTGTGTTGGAGTACTTGAGTTCGTAACTGATACAACACATAACAACAATTTTGTGTAATTAGTAATTACATGTTGGTCGTTTTTGAAGCATACCCTCAACGTTTGTTGAAAACCCTAATTTGTATCTATACTTTTCTGATTAATTTGTTGAGAACGTAGTTGATTAGATATGAATGCATTATATTTGGAGATGGAATCAAAATCACCTCTTGTGTTGGAAACTAGTGTTTGCAACACAATACATGGCTTTATAAATCAGCGATGTAAAATTGTTGTGTAAGCAAAAAAAGGTAGTATAGTTGTAAAGTTATGATGATATGATTTCTCGGTTTCGTTAATTTAAACCTTATAAAACTTTTCACTTTCACTTTTCTTGGTGCAGGATGTATATCTGAAAAGTCCTTTCTATGATTGTTTAATTTCTTGGGTAAGTACAGTTGAGACATACTTATCTTCTTTCCTTATTCATATGTTTTCGATACTTCGTTCTTATTAACAAATCTCTATACTACGGAAATTTTTTGTTAAATACCCTTTAATCTAGATGGCCAAAGAAGGTAAAAGCCGGGATAAAATGTACGAGGTGTTGAAAGTGGTGTGCAGTACTCACGAGTTACCTTTGGCTCAGATGTGGGCTCCGTGCAGGCATCCCGGTACCGTGGCCTATGATGCTAATATGGACAATAGCTCTGATACATTTGATGCAAGGAGTATGGGACAAGTCCTACACTTTCAAAGGACAGCATCTTATGGTCAAGATAGTACTGATTCTACGACAAAATTCTTAGGGATAAGCACACTAAGGAACTTGCAAAAGGGACGAGGAATTGTTGGGAGGGCATATCTCTCGCATAAACTATGTTTTTGTAGAGATATAACTCAATTCAGCCCATCTGAATACCCAATTTTCCCTGATGCATGCCATTTTGGGTTAGTTGGCTGTTTCACGATTTGCTTGCAGAATACTTGCCATGGAGAACCTAATTACGTGCTAGAATTTTTTTTGATTCGTGAAAATGCATGTGATGAAGATCCAAGTACCTTCTTGTGCTCGATACTAAAAACAATGAAGCAGCATTTCCCAAGCTTTAAGCTTGCTTCTGGAGAAGAACTCAATAAAGAACTAATGATTGAAGTTATTAAACCTCACATGAATCAGGAACTTGCTTCTTTTCAATGCCAAAGTACTATATCTCTGTCTAGGTCTGGAGTCTTACAAAATGGACAAGAAATGACGTAGCCACGTTCATCAAATCAACAACTAATGCTTGAAGTTGATGATGATATCAACAATGGAAGGAATGTTGTTAATGCACAGCAAAATAACACTCCTGCTTCTTGTTTAGATGTGGCAAATTCAATTACTTATAAGGAACTCAAAAAACATTTCGGAAAGAAACTTGAAGATGTTGCAGGGATATTTGGTGGTAAGTTTACACATTATTTAAAATATATTGTTGCTTGTAATCTTGCTTTTATTATTTTCAAATTTTGAGTTTCTTCTTCTAAAACTAATAGATTATTCTTTTGCACTTACATACTATATGAGTTTTTGTTATTGAATTCTTATTTTTGCAGTGAGCAGATCTACGTTTAAGCGTAAATGTAGAGAGAATAAAATCTACCGCTGGCCACAACGCAAGAGAAAGAAGGTTATCTGCTCCTCCCCCTGGACGAGACACTATATGTTCAGATTTGCGTGCTAAGAAGCTCGTGACTACTGTTGCTTCCATGACTCCACTTGTAACAACACCACTAGAAGTAGAGACCATTACTATAAGGGCTAAATATGGAGCTTATGTGATAAAATTTCAACTACCTTTAACGTCAAGAATGGCAGAGTTGGAAGAGAAAGTGTTCAAGAGGTTGAAGTTATATGTTGGAACGTATAATATCACATATAATGATGGCGACGATCAAATTTTAATAGCCTGTGACGAGGATTTGCAGGATTGTGTGAGTGTTTCCAATTCATTGGGCATGAATACAATAAAAATGTTCATTGAGCCAATTACTAAAATATCACCTTCTGACTAATTATGCCTGTATCTGCTTACTATGTGTTGATATCAATCTAGTATCTATCCACGACCCTAGTTCCTAAAGACATAATAAATATAAGTACTAAACTTTCTCTTCACATTTGTCGTTTTTATCTTTTCGGCAAGAAATATCAGCACTTTCTATTTTCCAGCTCCCAATTTGTTCTCTTTGTATTTCAAAGAGAAGACCTTACTGAAATGTAATATTTATGTTCAAATTGAAAGAAGCAACTTCCGTTTTGCACGAAATGGTATGTTTTGTGCATGCGGCCAAGACATGAATGATCTAGTTGTTTGGCCTTTACTTCTCATAGGAATTGAATCCATTATACCCCCAAATGATTAGTTCATTTGTTTCGTCATCTGGAGCTGGCATGTCAATCAAATAGAGAATTGAAACTATTAGCCATCAGTTACATTTGCAGTATACCCCAAATGGTTTTGTCACAACTTGAAAAACAATTCCGCGTTCAAGCACCTAATTGAACAAGCTCCGCAACTTATAACTGGGGCTAAGGTGAAAGATCAACATGACCATGAACGCGATTAACAGAAAAAAAAAATTGTAAATTTTCTTTATCAAGGTGTCGTGCTGAAATAATGCTAGTAAAAGACATAGGTCATGCCTCCGAATCAAATGTGGCTTGGCGTGACACTGAATTAAGGATTGGGTGTAACTCTGATATTAACTGTAACGGGCAAACTGATTTCGCGATCCAACTAAAAAATTTTAAATTATTAATGAGATTACCACCCAACTCATAACCCATTCACTTTTCCATCTGAATCCAATATGAGACAAATCCCCTTATAACTATGCATGTACAAGTTGGAGTGAATAACCACCTATTATCCTATATATAAATACCCATCGGTGGGCTACTCTAAATTATTCAATTTCTTTTTGTAGATTCTTTTCTCGCTCTCTCAGCATGAACCTAATCCATTTGAATTCTAGCCATGATCAAGTGGTTCAAGGCACTTAGACCCAAAACCTTTAGTGTTGAGCCATATTTGATAGATACTTCTCTCGCTCTCTCAACATGAACCCAATCCATTTGAATTCTAGCCATGATCAAGTGGTTCGAGGCACTTAGACCCAAAACCTTTAGTGTTGAGCCATATTTGAATAGATACTATTATAAACTTGTTCGGCTCATGAAAAGCGTGGTCTTTTCCAAGTGTGGAAAGAAGGGTGAGTTGCGGGCATGCCAGGAACTGCAGTAGCTCCAAAGTAGAAATCCGAACGGTTATCCAGTTGGAAGATTGTAGGGATTAGTTGATTGTACGAAGGTCTGGAATAACCACCTTCGAAGGGTCTTTTTTGCCTTTGAACAAGGACTTCAAACTATTCCATGGCTAATGAAGAAGGTATTGAAGTGCAAAGGCTAAAATTTAAAGTAATTGAAGTACAAGACTTGGAATGTTAGAAAGGAAATGCAAGTGCAGAAACTAAAGAAAGGAAGTATATGACTGGAAGTTTAAGAATTGAAGTGCATCACTGGAAGTTTAAGAATTGAAGTGCATGACTGGAAGTAACAAAAGAGTACTGGACTTAATTCATTGCTTGGAATGAATGCGATATGGAATAGCAAAGTGTTGGACTCAACTTAAAAGAAAGTAAATTCATTGCTGGAATGGAAGTACATGAACTAACAAAGATGCTAGGTTTAGACATAATGTAAATTCATTATTGAAAGAAAAAGTACATGAAAAGCAAAGATGCTAAATTGATGTGTTATGTGCTGGGCAGGCAGGGTTTCCAAACTAGCCTTGGGTACTCTATTTATAGAGCTCTTCATGCATGCAGTAGCTTGATGTGGCAACTCCGGTGATTTCCACGTGGCCAAATTTTGGACTGCCATGTGTCCTATGATCTTTCAGCCTTTTCTATATGTTGCCAAGTGTAAAACTATATTCTCCTATGATTTATAATTGATAGATAGTGGAATTGGTGGTTGAATACATGCTTGCAAGCCTTCTCCCACGTTCTAAAACTGCCCAGATGGAAAGGCAGCGATTTCCAGCAGCAGTTGAGAACTTCCACCTGGAAGATCTGGATCGTGCCACAGTCCCATGTCTTCCTTAGTCTTCTCCCTCATGCGTGGTCTTCTCCTTTATTTTAGACCATGATTCCCTTAATTTAGCCATGTCATCCATTATCTTCAAACACTCCCTCAGTTAGTGGTAGTTACCATATAAAGTTCCATCCCTTTCAACTGATGTATTCTTGTTTGGCCAAGTGTCCCACGATTTCTAATAGTCTTCCCCTTCTGTAGAACCTTCCTTCTGTATAATTTCTATATATATTATTAACGTATATAGAAATTATTCATATACCCACGTTCCCTTGGCTTTAGGTAATTTCTTTTGGTTGGATATTCCTGTTTGGCTTTAACTTTCATGCCGTCGTGGCCCCTTTTTTCGGTGACTTCTCCTTCATGGGTTATATTTAATATATAAATATATATACATAAATATATATCCATAAATATAGATATTCCCCACGTCCCTTATTCTTCTGTAAACCCACATTTCCTTGAATTTTTGGTAACTTCCCTCATTTAGACTTTCCTTTATGAGTTTGGAATTTATGGCGCCATGTACTCCTTCTTTTTAGTGACCTTCTTATTATGGGTTGGCCGGTATCCTCAACTCCTCTAACTTCCCTTCTTTAGACTTTCCTTCCCAATTCAGAGTTTATGGTGTCGTGGCTCTATGACTTCAGCGGTTTTCTCATCGTGGGCTTATCCCCCACATCCTTTTCTTTTGTCAACAATGCTCCCTGAATTTCAGCAATCTTCCTCAATCAAACTTCCCTTTCTGGTTTCATGGCATCATGCTCTCTGAATATCAGCGACTTTTTTTTATCGTGGGTTTAATCTGATATATATATATATATATATATATAAATAGATTAAACCCCCATGCCTTGCTTAATTTTAGCAACGAAGTTTGACTAGGTTTAGACAATTTGCTGAAGTCTCCTAAAAAGAAGGAGAAAATATAGCCTCCACATTCTCCTTTTCTGGCTTGGTCAACTTGTAAATTTTGGTAAGTCTTCAACCCTTCAAGGGTTTTGAAGATATGTGATTTGCTCTCAAAATTCACCCATTAATTCTTTAAAAGAAATATTATCTTATGGTAAGTTCCATAGAACTCGCCATGTGTCGAGAGACAATTGGTTGAATTTGTCTTGAATAATTGCATGATGTTGCATATATGATAGTATTTCCATAGAATAATTCCTTCATTCCAAATAGGAATTTCTAGGCCATCACTTTAAAGATGGTAAGTCCTAATAGGTCTCACCTGTTTTCTTTTTAGAATAGAAAACTCTATATGGTAGGATTGTATTGGCCCACTTGTCTTTGATTGTTACGTAAAATTAAATAGCTTTAATACTCCAATAATAACTTATTAGATTTGTGATCCAGCGTGGTAAGTTCCATTGGAACTTGCCATATGTTGCCTTTCCATTGTGCCAAAATAATGGAGTAAACATATGCCCCCAAATTCCATGCCTTGTGGAATAATTTGATGACAAGGCATGGGATTTGAATTTTGCCATCATGAAAAAGAAGAAAAAGAAATTGAAGAAAAAGAAGTAGAAGTATTAGAAGAAGGAAATGATGTTTTGTATAAAGTAAAGGGATAAGAAAAAGTTTTTTTTTTTTTTTTTTTTTTTTTTGAGGTACTTTCAATATGGTTGGACTTAATTTGGAATTGCTAACATTGAAATGCATGTATAAGCAAGATGAGTAATTTCCAGTATGAATAGAACCTGGACCATGTAATATAGCCTCTTCTCAATGAAATACTCCATACTTAGGAAATCAGCTGATCTTAGAAATTTAGCTAAGTCTGCTTTATAACTTTAGCCAATGTACTTTTCCAAGTACTTAGCTTTCCCTTCTTAGAGTGGCCAAAGTATGGCCATTATACTTCCTTTCTAATTTTCCGGTTTACTTGGAAAGGAAGATACCAGCTGTAGACACTAAAAATTTAATGGACTTTGGTGTTGACAAATTGACCCATTAAATATGGGTTTAATGTTTAATTAATTAATTTATTTAGCCCAAGCTTGGTCCACTTAAATTATTTAATTAGCCAACCCAGATGATTAAATGAAAAGATAATTATTCCTAATAAAATATATTTAGAATAATTATTTTTAAGGATAATTATCACAATATAACTTGCCCGCCCCAGTTATAATTTTATCCTTATCAGGAAATGACACGTGTCATCATCCTATTAATCCAAGAAGCCTATAAATAGAGGTCTGGAGGAAGAAGGAAGGGGTACACAAAGTCAGAATTCAGATCCTAGAATTTCAGGGAGAAATACAGAAACTCTCATCCCCAACATCCAAACCC